GTTCATTATACCAGCTGTTCATTTCCATTTTAAAGTCAAGCACATTCACATTCTTTGTGTAGTGGCTGAACAAAGTGAGTGTGTGCATGCACTGTATAGCTGTTAAGCTGTGAGGTGTTAACAGTCTCTTAAACTTTGATTTTAATTGCATTATTGTTTGTATCTTTCCGTTAAGTTTATTTTCATATCNTGTGTGCCTTGGCAGTCTAAGTGTTTCACACCTAGAGGATGATCCATGCTGTTCCTCCTCTTCTCTCCTGTTCAGAAACAGAGACACATTTATTATTAATAATCAGGAAACCTCACATTCAAGAGGACACAAATACCTCATTCCAGGGACGTGCACAGACATTTTGGGGGGCAGGTGCTCAAGTGAGAAAAAGGGCACATCCCATAATCATTTATTAAAAAAATGTAAAACTAAAAGTTAAATATAGTTGCACATCTCTGGCTTACCAACCAATTAGTTTGAATACCCTCACACTCACGCAATTGTTTAAAACTCAACATAATACAAAATAATCAGTTAACACAGAGACAATGATCGTCTTTAGTATTCACTACGCACAAGAGCAGACAACAACAAATCCACAATGTGCATGTTTTCTATGCTACTAGTTAAAATTGCTATAATAATTAGTTTATTTTAGCACAACATTAAGTCCTTTGAATTATTTTTGTGGTATTAAAATAAATAACACTTTAAAATCAACAAAAATGTTCACGCACAACTGAAAAAGGCTGTTCTCTACATAAATACGCAAACCAACCTAGCACTCCAAACTACAAGTAGGCCTAAGTTTAGTTACAACAATTACACTTAGTGCATTCTCCTCTCCTACTCATTTACTTAATTTAATTGGACAAAACACATCGGAAAAAACTGTGAAAAATATGTATTAAGAACATGCAAAAATACTGCAACTTTACTGAAATTATTTAACAATGTCTTGAAATCTGAAATTAAATATTTTGTTAATAACTTCTTTTGTTACTAACTTTCTTTGTATCTTGTATCTTTCTTTGCACTTGGAAATTGTTAAATCTTTTTTGTGTCTTCACTTGTTGTCTCTCCTTCCTCCCTTAGCAGCAACCTTCTGGGGGCCATGTCCCTGTAGATGTTTATTACTTCACTGTGGATAGCAGGAATGTCCTTCTCAATAGCGAGGAGGAGGAGATCAGAAAGCCTCTCTTCTGTACTTTGGCTTCTGAGTGTGTCTTTCACACACTGGCAGCTTAGTCATTTGTTCATCACCACTCACCTTCAAAATAAACCAAGAAAAGCATAATGTGGGACAGTAAAGTGGGAGGTGCTGCTACCTGTCTGTCTGAAGGGACTGCCGATGTTCGCCCCGCTGTGCGCGAGACGTGGAGGGAGGGAGGGGAGAGAGAGCAGCGGAACTTGACAGTCTAATCTCCCGACCTGATATTTTTATTTTTTATTCAATCAATATATTTTTGGAAAGTGTGCGCAAACAGCAGTAGATATATATTCATTTATTTAAAAAGCACCCCATAAAAAGGGCACTTTCTCTGGAGGAAGAAAACGGGCAGGGGCTCAAGCCCACTTTGAGGTCTACAGTATGTGTGCACGTGCCTGCTTGATGGTGTGAAACTGTTCCATAAGCTATCATTTTTCATTCAGGCCACACAAGTGGATGGTGTCCTGTAAGGCCAACATATGGATACAAAAATAATTTCAAAGTACGCACTGCTCTTGTGGCACAGAGATATAAACTGCAGTTCTTGTGCTGCTTTAATGTTGTTGTTGTTGTTGTTGTTGCTGATGTTGCTGTTGTTGTTTAATGATGAATAACTGTCTGGTTAGTGTTTCTTTATACTGTGGACATACATGCATATGTTATTGTTTGTTTCCTGACTAGGACCCACAGATATGAAGTAGCTCATAGCTAATTCTGGTAAAGCTATAAACGCTGCGCACTCTCCCTGTCAAACTTAGTCCATTCCTCTCACCCTTTTCCCCTTCACTCCTCAAGCCCATGGTGATAACAGAGAAACAGAGCTGCTGTCCCTTCCTCCGGCTCCTTCTGGGAATCTCTGTTGTCTCCCAGGCATGCTGCAAGTTGGACTCTTTCCAGGATATACGTTGCACAAATTCTATGTTTTATCTATTTTCCACAGTTTCTCCAATGCAACTTCTTCGGGGCCTTAAATGACAGGATTGTTGCAACAAAAATATAAATACACATTCTTGTTTGCTGCCATAAAACATGCCATCTTATCTGCAGACAGTCCTACAACAGCTCTGTCTTTAACGCACGTTTTCATCACAGATACAGATTATATTAGAGACCACGCGAGTCAAATACCACTGAGGGCTTTATTTGGTCCTGGAAACGTGACAACTACACCACAAAAAGTGTTGATTTGCTTCCTTTCTCAGGCTCCGTTGTTTGAGATGGACCAGGAGGAGGATGAGGAAGAAGATGGTCTCCCAGTGAGGAGCCGAGGTAAGATTGGAAGATTGTGTGATTTGTGTGTATAGTGATGGTAGTTCCTGTGCAGCAAGAACGTCTACAGCCTCAAGTGCTCCTGTTATTCTGTACAATTGTTTGCATGAACAATGTGCAAACAAACCTGAATGATTTGATAATGAAAATCACATTCCCAATGCCCAACGTTTATCATGATTATTGCAAAAAAGGTTGTTGATATTTTGACTTTACATCATCATATCTCTTGGCACCAGTGTATATGAAGTGTTTTCCCATGTTTATTTGTAATTGGTAGTCATAAGCAACACATGCTTTTGAACCCCATTCAGCCACAGACCCTGACACGTTCATCTACATGAACTTCATGAAGAGTCACTGCTGCTATGACGCCATCCCTACCAGCTCCAAACTGGTCATTTTTGACACAACACTACAGGTATGGGACATCTTTTATTTAGAAAATAAATAAAAATGTTTTAAATGCATGACTATTTTGGGTTGTAATTAATAAATCTTTGTGTGCTTCGACAGGTGAAGAAGGCTTTCTTTGCTCTGGTAGCTAACGGAGTGAGGGCCGCTCCACTGTGGGACAACAAGCTGAAGTGTTTTGTGGGTGAGCAATAACATTATGTGGCTCTACCACCTTTTGGGAGAAAGAGACTTTGTGGTATATATTTCAAGAGGCCATATTTAGTTTCTTCTGGTTTTCCCTTTCCTGTGTTAGATAGGTTTTTGTGCATGTACTGTAAAAAGGTCTGCAAAGCCTATAATCCCAAAGTTCCCTCCAGAGGAAGTTTCTCTCCCACACGTCATTGGCCCTCATTGGACTCCTTGTGCTTCTATGGGCTAGCACTCCAGCACATTGTACGTGATAGGCTGAAGTTTGGGGAATCTCTAAGCGGTTGACCAATCACAACAGAGCCAGCCAGCTGACCAATCAGAGCAGACTGGGCTCTGGTTTCAGACAGAGGGTGAAAAGAGGTGCTGCAGCACAGGCAGTATCAGAAAATAAAGACCTTTCTCCCAGTAGAAGCACCAAATATGAACCTGAGAAGGAGCTTAATACGGCTGCTTTAAATGTCCACTTAAATACATGTCTGATGTTTCCATTGTGCCTGTGTTTGCGTGCAGGTATGCTGACCATCACTGACTTCATCAACATTCTCCATCGCTATTACAAGTCTCCTCTGGTGAGCCGTGTGACCTTTGGATTATTTGTGGCAAATAAAACACCTTAGGTCCTAAGAGTTTGTTGCATGCCAGTCGGTGTCGTGTCATGCACCATGCACAGTGGTGTCACTTCTTTAAATGATCCGTTTTAAGTGGAAAATCAGGATTTAGAAATCACACATATACTTTCGAGGCTAATGATGTTTCTTTGTTCTGCAGGTTCAGATATATGAGCTGGAAGAGCACAAGATAGAGACATGGAGAGGTCTGTACAACATTATATAGTTGATTTCTTTCTCTTTTTTTTTAGCTATCTACATTTTGTTTTGGTAGTTTGTGTTAATAAATTGTGATTCTCTATCTTGGCAGAGACCTATCTACAGTACCATATCAACAGACTGATCAGCATCACTCCTGACTGCAGGTGAAAACCAGCCTCTCAAATAATTCATTAAATTCAGGTTCATGGTCAAATGTCTTCCTATAGATTGTAATATGCCACATAAGATACTAGCCGTTGTCATTTTAGTTTAAAACATTGTCTTAGGTATTTAAAAGTGGGATATCTTCATGGCTCTTTGCACACTCTCTTTTAAGTTGAACTATTGTGTTAGTGCTAATAATGGTTGGTGGTATTTTCAAAAAGCTGTACATTTTTGGGCTTAAAGTCAACCTTTCTACATTCGGAGCCAGACATCACCCGAGTCCGAGCTGTGCCTTATGTTGTTCTATGCTAAAGTCCTCATGTGTAATTATAATAATCGTAATCATGGGATTCTATTTCTCCCCAGTCTGTTTGATGCCATCTACTCCTTGTTGAAGAATAAGATACACCGGCTGCCGATCATCGACCCGGCGTCAGGAAATGTCCTCCACATCCTGACTCACAAACGCATCCTCAAGTTCCTCCACATCTTTGTAAGATTTCTCTGAGAGTATCTTTCTGGGGCTTGTCCTAAAGTTGTTATACATTCATCCAAATAGGGTACTTCCCCCTTGGACTAATTTGAGGATGTGCTGGAAATCGGGTTTTGTATTTCGAGAAGAGAGAAAGGGCAAATTAGTAAATCAATAAAAAATGGGGGGTGAGAAATTGATACATTTATACAGATTGCATTACTGACAGAATTTAAGAGAACCAAAAACAGTGAGAAACGTTAGCAGTGCATTTCTGTTTGACTTCTATGGAATTGTTCTCAATTTGGTTTGACATTAAGATATTGTATTTGTCTCTCTCTTCCCGTCCCCTCCAGGGATCTATGATTCCTAAGCCCAGGTTTCTTCAGAAGCGGATCAATGAGGTGGCGATCGGTACTTTCAGAGAGATTGCAACAGTCCAGGAGTCGGCCTCAGTCTATGACGCTCTGACTATCTTTGTGGAGAGAAGAGTTTCTGCTCTGCCAGTAGTCAATGAGCAAGGTAGGCCAACCTAACATTTTACTGTGGGAGGTTAAAAAAAAAAGGGTCATTTTGTTTGTCAGTTTAATAAAAAGAGGGTTTCAGTTGACATCTATGTTTTGTTTTCATCTACCATCTATGGTCTGTCATTTTCTCCTCCGTAGGTAAAGTCGTGGCACTGTACTCCAGGTTTGACGTCATTGTAAGTTAGTTTCACACATCCCATAATAATTGTGGTTCCTTCAATCCCTTGTCATGCTCATTCCAATTGTTGTTTTTGTCTGGTTGGCATATCATTCATGGCTTAATACCCGCAAAAACACAGTCAAATATATCATTTTCATGCATATTTTGGAATGCCATTTTCCATTTTCCATGTCCAGATTTTGCAGCTGCATGCTCAGCTTTCAATGCATGCAATGAGGACTATATTGCCTAAAATCGACTACATTTAAACTACTTGAACTGCTGTTAGTGGACCAATATTGTTTTCTGTTTTTCTCCTTGGTTCAGAACCTCGCAGCCCAGAAAAACTACAACAACCTGGACATGACGGTGAGGGAGGCCATTTCCTCCAGAGCCTGCTGTGTGGAGGGAGTGCTGAAGTGTTACCCTTACGAAACACTGGAGACCATCATCGACCGCATTGCAAAGGCTGAGGTAACACACACATTCATTCACTGGCTGTCTGACATAACCTTATTATATGTAGGATGAATAATGTTCCCTAACTATTTTATGTAACTAAGGTTTTTCTTGTTCGTACACATTGCACTGAACTCTAATCTATTTAGCTTTCTGTTACGATTCTCACACATTAATGGGTCATGTTTTCCGTTGTTTTCAATAAGGACACAGTCAAGATACACTCAAACGCAAGTGGTTTTTGACAATGAATTAAAGAGAACAATATTTGTATTCCACTGTGACCTCCCGTCTCTTGAAATGAGCATTTCAATTCCTGTTTTGAACAGTTACCTTCACAGATTTTGTTTGTCTTTCTTTATAATTTTCCTTCTGATATTGTTCTTTTATATGACAGTATGTGGCACGTGCAATAATCAAAGCATGACGACCATGTCCTCTCTCCTCTAGGTGCATCGTTTGGTGTTGGTTGACAGCGAGGATGTGGTTAGAGGGATTGTCTCTCTGTCTGACCTTCTACAAGCCCTGGTTCTCACCCCTGCAGGTATTGATGCGCTGTACTCCTAACGCCAACTCCAATCCCTTGCTCTTTCTCTCAAAGCCCCGGTCCTTCCATCTGCCTTCAAGTCCTTGAAAGTTTCTGCTCCCTCAATCTACGTTCCTTCTCCTCTTGTGAATGCTCTCGTTCCTAATGACAAAACTCTTCGTCTTCTTCAACTTGAAATCCTCCTGAGGACAAAGAGTGTCGTTCTTCGGTTCCTGTGAAATGTTCTGACGTCAAAGATCCGACTCTTCCTTGGTCCTCCCTTCCTGAAATCTCCTGAACCTTTCAAGAATACTTGTAAATACTACTTGAACAAATTACCACATTTAGGAATTCATCTGAAGACCCCCCTCCAGGATAGTGAGAGATCAATCTCTGGAATATGTTCTTAAACCTGTGATCAACCAACAAGTCTCTTTCTGCTATTTCCACATCAACCAACCACCTCAACAGGAGAAAAACTGTCTTTTTGTTTCCTCTAAAACTAATTTGAAGCATCAAACTAAATGATCCTGATCTGATGCCTCTGTAAAACAAGTCAAAAGACTCCTTCAGAACCCCCTGCCTAGCCAAAATCAACATTGCTTTAACAATTAAACACTTCATCTTCCAAATACAACTTAAAAACCAGACCAGTTGCATCCTTCAAAATCCTGTTACACATTAGCAACCAACCAAGTAGTTTCCCTAACCTCTACAAAGTTGGATATGCCCCCCCCCCCCACACCGTCTTCATGCTGCAGTTCCTCCTCTGAAACCACCATGTCACCAGCTTCTCTTAGCCAACAAACCCCAGGTATGAAGCCCAAGCTTACATGTAGATTGCATTGTCATCATTCGAAGGCCTTGCTGCTGCCTGTTGTGGTTCTTCTGTAGATTTCCAGAGAGGTTCACATGAGGGGGAATTGGTACATGTGTCACAACTGTTTGTTTAGTATATGTTAATGTAATGTTGTACCCTCAAGAGGCTATAAAGCCCTGATTGAATCTGAAATCATTCACCATCAAGGTGTCCACCTGCTGTGATTGTCAGTCCAATTCCCACCCATCTCTGCTGTAAGAACCTGATAAAGTTGAGTCTGATAGTCTTCATGTTGAATGTATAAGCGCTTTATGTTGGAATGAATTCAAACAATGACTGTCTGACTATGAGCAAAATGTCTACTAGGATGATGGGTCCAGTATTACACACATATGGCAACCTAGTCTGTTTTTTTGTTGGCTGCCTAGGTTAGAAAATATGGGATTCAACAAGCGATTAAGATTTGGCTTCACCTTCTAAACATACAGGCTCATTAAAATATCTGTGGGGCATGTCATAACAGTATGCTGTATTTACATCATACCAGATTTACCCAAAATACAAGTAGCCACCACTCATGAGTCATGACGAAGGTCCATTAGTTTATTTAAAGAACATGTTGTGATTAACTAAATATAGGGGCTACCAATCATTGTTTTCATTGCTGTCCAACTATGTGAACACCTGAATCCACACAGGCTGTAAACAAACAATATCATCCAGCTTTTCTGGTTCCTCTGATATGATGTGAACATTTCTTTGAGTTTCAGCCTTGATGAAACATGTACAGCATCAGACTGTGTGCTTTAATGCCTGTCCTCTGTCTACAAACAATGTACATATTGAAAAGATGATACGTAGTAACAGATAGACTTAGTGTTGTGAATGTGTATACATACTGTATGCTAAGAGTTTGTTTCTTAGTTCAACTGCTGGCAAAACCCCAAATGTCCAACTTGCCTAAACATTGGTTAAGATGACGTTTTAGTCACAGAAGTTAAACTTGGTCTCAGACTGATTTCATTAACTTTCTCATTTGATCTTTTCCAGATATGTGTGAGGGATCATACTTTCAACAATGAAGAAAACAAGATGGACGTTGATGGATTGAAAGAGATTATAAAGGGGCAAGTAAACCGGGCATTAGCAGAGTTGAGTTACCGCTGAGAGGTCATTGGTTTCAATCCCGGTCCAGAAGACAAATATGGAAAGAGAAAGGGAAAATTGCAACCTGCTCAGCGGACACTAACAGAACATTCATTTTGCAGGGAAGATACCGCAGAGTTGAACTATTTCAAAGGTGTGGCTGGAAAACTGCGTTGACCTGAAGATGCACATCCAAAGACTTTCTACCTGACCTGGACTGAAGCATCACATTTTAAGTTACTTTGCAAGTTAGGTTGTATGCAAATGTAGTTGTTCAAGTTATATTTAATGGTATGTAGTTCACCTTTTGGACTTAGAATGATTACAAATGAGAAATTCTTATATTGTATTTTAGAATTGTGATCACCTTTTTATAAATGCACTAAATAAAATGTTTTGCTTTAAAGTACTGATAACTACTTATCTGCAGAAACATGGTTTTCCTTTCAACACGGTTATTTAGGTTTAGTAGGCTATAGTGAAAAACATCGATATGATGCAGTGGTCATTTAGGACCAAGATAAATACAAGGTTTACAGATCAATAATTACATATCAGTTTAGTACTCTGGAAAAAACATGTTTCTTTAACAAATACAACAGCCTGGTCATATATTGGTAATAATTAATATTAATGTTATGGTTTAATTGTTGTAATTATGGAGCAAATAAATGAAGGTAATAGCACGTGAAATGCAGTGTTGGGACTAACGCGTTACAAAGTAACGCAACTACTTTTTGCGGTAACTAATAGCGTTGCTAGTTACCTATTCCCATTCAGTAACGCCGTTATAGTTACTGTGATTTAAATGGGTGCGTTACTGCGTTAAATTATTATGTGATCCAACTGAACCGAATCTCCCTGCGGATGTAACTTACAGGCGAATACAATACCATGGAAAAGTGAAAGTGACCAGAGAGGAGTGATGATTGGTTAACGCGGGGTAACATTTCAGGGTAAGCCAATCAGAGACAGAGTTGGGCGGGTCTTGCCTTATGGGGAAAATACACACACGAACACTTGCTAATGCTAACACACACACACACGGCAATGCTCACCACCAGCACACACACACACACACAATGGCAGATGATCAGCGAGAGCAGCAGCGCATTTACAACTTGGAGATACGTATAACCACTATTTTCAATTTGTGGGGATAAAGGACGCAAAAAATATTACGGTCAAATGTAAACTGTGTGCAGGACAGAAAGCATTGTCCACATCGACTAACAGCAATGCCAATCTCCTGAAGCACCTAACCAATGTACATGTGGGGAGTTGTCTTTTCTCTTACTGTGCCACAGAACAACACAAAAACTTGTATTTTTATTGTTATTATTTTTAAAGTAAAGTAACTTGTTACTAGTTACTTTTATAATTTAGTAACTAATAAAGTAACTAGTTACTTTTTGAGAGCAGTAACTATAACTATTACTAGTTACTTAAAAGTAACTTGCCCAACACTGAAATGTTATCTCAGGATATGTGTAGCAGGAGTGAACAGTACTTTCAAAGAGACGCGACAAACAATCGGTAATTAAAAGGGATTAAATAAGTCATAGGTAAATATATGTATAAAAGTCTCCCAATTACATCGATATTACTGTTGTATTTGTTCTTTAAATGGTGTGATCTTCTATAAATCTTTTATTTATAGGACTTTAAATTAAACACCAAAGACCACAGGTAATGTCCTCGAAACACACATGGTGGTTTCAGTCCAAAAAACACACATTGTGGTGGGGAAATGAAAAACAACACTCAAAAATGATATCATCCTGTTTCCATTTGAATGTATCTTGGGTGAGGTGAAATTTATTAGAATAGCACACATTTGACTTTATTGTGGACGAGTAAAAATGTGATCAGCAAATGTTATTTCTTATCACTTAGTTGAAGACATTGAGGTGATGGGACAGCAGCTGCAGTCTGCTGATCCTTTCTGACTGATGAGGTGTGACTGCTCTGTTTACCAGGGGTGGATTTGTTAACTGTTCAACTTTCATACATCCTGGTCACATGATCACCGGGCTGCATGAACACACGTACATTAGGTAAATAACTCTGCAACTGCTCTTGTTTTTACAGTACATTTCTCCATTTGTGCCTAAGGAAGAGGACGACTGATTCATTTTATTTCATTTTGAATATCAACTTGAGGAGAAAGCAGCATGTTATCTAAATATTGTCACTAAATCACTGGATAATCTGACTGGCAATGATAAGAAATGATAGCTACTGATAATGTTACAAGCACTATTACTGCTGCTGCGGGTAGTATTTAGATCACTACTAATAATACTTCTGCTATAATGTACTACTATTACCATAACACTGCTGCAACCAGAACTACTTTTTCAATAGTATAATGTAAAATAAGCTATAAAATAATCAGAAACAATACAAAAAATGGTCATCAAATAATCATAAGTTAAATACATTTGAAATAAATGCTATTTTTACTAAAATGGCAACTAATATGTGCTAATATAAAAATATAAGTCTAATAAAGTATGATATAAAAAGCTATAAAAAATAATCAGAAACTATTAAAAAAATGTAAATAATAAAATAGTCATAAACAACAATAATAATAGTATTAATAATAATACATATTCAAGTGAACTACAATTGGAGAATATTTTTACTTACTAGGAAGCAGGTAATCAAGTAAAAATGAATAAGTAGCTAGTCGTGCTTCAGCCACATGCTTTACAACTCTGAGCAAACAGATGAGCACCAATGGCTGCCGGGCTGTGACTGTACTTCTGATCTGACTCTGACTCTGAGCCAGCACATGTGCACAGGATGTATCGGAGCATATCCAGCTGCTGCTACTGATGACTGAAGCTGACTACTGACTGCAGGAATGGATCCCACACTCAGGTACGAGACCCGCTCCAGCCCGTTGATCACTGCATCACTCAAATGTAGTCTTTTACTGATACTTTGCTAACTGCAACTGAAAAAGCCTGTGTGGTTTAGTTTCCAAAATCCACGACAAAAAATACTTTCAAAAGTTCAGATATTGTAATCCTCATAGGGTGTTGTTGGTGTTAACGTAAAATGTTTTATATATCAGCACAACACAGAACTCTGAGGTTGTGTGTGGGGCGTGTGGCGCAGTGGATAGAGCCTTGGTGTTGGGATCAGGGGTTCACAGGTTCAAACCCCACTGCAGTCAGCATGTCGTTGTGTCCCTGGGCAAGACACTTCACCCCAAATTGCTCCTGTGGGGATTGTCCACACTATTGAGTATGTAAGTCGCTTTGGATAAAAGCGTCTAACAAGTGAAATGTAATGTAATGTGTTACAGACAATATCAAAGTCATTCAATGAAACCACTGTTAAAGCTGAGGCTCTCTGCAGGATTATTTGGCAAAACAATTAGTTTGTGGCTTCCAAGTGCATCATCATCCAATATCGCACATCGGACAAACAAAAGTGCACAAGGTAGATTACTTTGTAATCTATTGAATGCTAATTCAACTGTTTACCTGACAATTATCTGAGACTGAGTAGCTTTTCAGAGTTTTAAAATCATCACTGAACAGCTGTGCAGTGTTTTGACATCTGATACTTTAAACACAGACGTACGACTCAAACTGGGCCTCAAGCAGCACTGCTACTCTGACCCTAAAGCTACTCTGACCCTAAAGCTGCTACTCTGACCCTAAAGCTACTCCGACCCTAAAGCACTGCTACTCTGACCCTAAAGCTACTCTGACCCTAAAGCACTGCTACTCTGACCCTAAAGCACTGCTACTCTGACCCTAAAGCTACTCTGACCCTAAAGCTACTCTGACCCTAAAGCACTGCTACTCTGACCCTAAAGCTACTCCGACCCTAAAGCACTGCTACTCTGACCCTAAAGCTACTCTGACCCTAAAGCTACTCCGACCCTAAAGCTACTCTGACCCTAAAGCTACTCTGACCCTAAAGCTACTCCGACCCTAAAGCTACTCTGACCCTAAAGCTACTCTGACCCTAAAGCTACTCTGACCCTAAAGCTACTCTCACCCTAAAGCACTGCTACTGTGACCCTAAGGCTACTCTGACCCTAACGCTACTCTGACCCTAAAGCTACTCTGACCCTAAAGCTACTCTGACCCTAAAGCTACTCTGACCCTAAAGCTACTCTGACCCTAAAGCACTGCTACTCTGACCCTAAAGCTACTCTGACCCTAAAGCACTGCTACTCTAACCCTAAAGCTACTCTGACCCTAAAGCTACTCCGACCCTAAAGCACTGCTACTCCGACCCTAAACTTAGAGCTGTGCCTTTCATAGTCTTTACTGCTGAGGGCAAATCAAAAAAAATGTTGCACCTGCTGACAATCGTTATACCTTTCTTTATTTTAAAGGCTGCCATCACCAAAGTGACAGCTAACTGTGGTCCAATATGCAAATTAACGCAATCATATTATCTTTAATTGCAATGTCAACTTGTGCTATAAACACATGGCAATATGCCCTCAAGGCTACCTGGGTTGAAAGAGTACCTGTAGAAAGCCGGACTCAAAATGAAACTATACCTTTTTGGTGCCTTGTGTGTTCAGTTCAATGGTTCATTTCTTAAATATTTGTTGAAAATAATACATTTTAATTGTTTGCATTCAACAAATATGAAGTAGTATTTAAGCATCTAATTAAAGCAGCAGAAAGGCAAACTGAGTTAACTTTATTTACATGTTTTATCATAAGTGAAAAAGCACAAGTGATATTCAATTAAAATTACTTTTATATTTTCTTCAAGCAAGGATTTTGCAACGAGGGACAGCTAGTTGATGTAATTTTGAATATTTGTATTTGTCTTTAAACACGTATGGAGGGGATCTTTTAGAGGGATTCTGTTGACATGTTTCTGGTGAGCAACACCTGCTCATCGTGTGAATAATGGCTGTTGTCAGTTTGAGACCAAAATAATGAAGTGACTGTTAAGAAGAATGTCAGCTGTATGGGTGGGTCAACAAAACCCTCCCATCCCCCCACAGTGTCATGAATCATCCACACATTAAGTCGTTTCAAAGAGTCGACCTTGCGTGTTTGACAGATAACTGAACTCATCATGTTTAGATTAAACGAAAATAGCTGCTAATGTGCTGTTACAAATGCTCAAATGGGTAATTAATGAAAACCATTTGTTGTTCTGTTATTGTATTTAGTGCAGTCGGATATGAGCATTGTTCTTAAACAACGATACTCAACAGAATATTGGGAAATGGAGATTTTGCCTTTTTTTTGTGAATGTTTTTTCTATTTTCAAAGCATATTTTTAAAACTTGTTCTCTGGCAGGAAGCATTTATTTGCCATTATGGATACAGTCCAGCTATAGTCTCAACTAGTGGTCGTCTACAGTAATGGTCTTTAGCATTTGACACTCATTAAGGGACCCCCATTTGATAAGGTTTTGCTTCAGGGACCTCGATCAAAAAAGTTGTTGGTCGTTAGAGATTATTTATTATGTATTATTTATAATAATAATACACTTTATTTGTATAGCACCTTTCATGCACAAAGCAGCCCAAAGTGCTTTACAAAAAACACACAACAAGAATATTAGAATAATATTAAAATTAATACAGAACAAGATAAAACATGTACAGTGATAAGTTATGTTAAAATAAAAAAATAAAAATTTAAAACAGAAAGAAAATACAGTAAAACATGGACAATGATACTAGTGAGAGTTGAAAGTAACCCAAATTAAAATCCATATTAAAAGGTAGGTTTTTTTATTTGCTTTTAAACATTTCAATGGAGTTTGCTGTTCTATGCTATGATATGACTTAGGTCGATAAGATAACTGCATTCTTACTGCAATACTTCATGCTTTTAGTTAAAGGGGCATTATTATGTTCATCTTCAGGTTCATATTTGTATTTGTTCCTCTACTGTGACATGTCTCCATGCTTTAATGTTCAGGAAGCTCTTGTGCTGCCTCTCATCACCCTCTGTCTGAAACCAGAGCCCAGTCTGCTGTGATTGGTTGGCTGGCTCTGTGAACCTTGGGATTTTAGCCTTTGCGGACCATTTACATGAACAAAAATCTATATAACACAAAGGGAAAACTTCTCATGAGAACAACTTCTCATGAGAACATCCTGGCAGGCAGCATTAGTAAACAGTAGTGTGCGATTAAATTGAAACAGCTTTTAAATTGTGCCGAAACCACAAACAAACACAAATCTTTACAGATAATCAGCCACTGGAACCACAGAGAGGTAAACATGGGAAGAAGAAGTCAAAAAGAGCTGAACTGGACATTCAGGTTTAAGTGATACTTAAGACGGACTGGATCAAGTTAATGAACAGGGCATGAGAAAGCAGGTGTGGAAAGAGAGCAGGCTTTTCCGTGAGGGCGAGTTGAAGGGAGTAACATCAATCTTTATTTGCAGTGCGGTCATATAAAATAATAGAGGCTTTCGTGTGAAGAACGGGTGGTAAAGACTGAGCAAAGTATGTTAACAAGAGAGCTGACAGGATAATTCTGTGCTGGAAATTAGCCAGGACCACATGCTGTATTATTCAGCCTCGTCCAGGACCATGTCTTAGTCTGAGCACAGAGAGATGAGGAGGAAGTTAGATGTAAGCTGAAGGACCGGGTGCCTCTTAGTAGATAAAAGGAGAACAAAGTAAACGTATTCTGACTTTGACAGAATGGATTATCCAGAAAGTTCTACATCTCCGCAGCGGTGAGCAGTTTAACGGATTTGTTTTGTTTAATCATTAGCATTGAGATGAATGCCTTTGGATTAAACCAACGCGTTTTTTATTTGATATAACTGAATGTATTTTTACTTTTTTAAACTGAGCTCAAGATGCTCCCTGTTACCTGTTCTTCAGTCTAGTAGTTTCATCTATGGTTTGTTTTTCCTAGTTGTATTTCATTTAGGTTTTTTTGAGATATTTCAATATGATGCACATAACACATGACAAGTGTGATTTAATTTCAAGAAAAAATTGATTACATTTTTAGCAAGCATCACACATGTTGTTATTTGTAGCCCCTGCTATATTAACAAAGATGCATTACTCTCATGGAAGGGAAGTTCTCATGAAGGGAGTTAGCTAATGATTTGAGTTTCCCCTCTGTCAATGTATCGACATCATATTAAATATGTGCGGTAAAAGTATGTTCTAGGTTTCGAAACAGCAGTACTGCAGCCATCTTCATATCAACCAAAGACCTAAATAAATCCCTACATCATTAAATCCAATATAGTGAACTCACACTTACAGTACATCTACTCTCTAACCTCATCTTCCATTTCATTTATTTATTCATTCAAGATTAAGATCTTTATCTCACATTGATTGTACATTTGTTACATTTTAGCTGTTCAAATATCATGTTTGTGTGTGTGTGTGTGTGTGTGTGTGTGTGTGTGTGTGTGTGTGTGTGTGTGTGTGTGTGTGTGTGTGTGTGTGTGTGTGTGTGTGTGTCACACACACACACACACACACACACACACACACACACACACACACACACACACACACACACACACACACACACACACACACACACACAAACATGATATTNCTCTCCTCCGTCGTCGTCGTCGTCGTCGTCGTCTCGTGTGTGTGTGTGTGTGTGTGTGTGTGTGTGTGTGTGTGTGTGTGTGTGTGTGTGTGTGTGTGTGTGTGTGTGTGTATTAGCAAGTGTTCGTGTGTGTGTATTTTCCCCATAAGGCAAGACCCGCCCAACTCTGTCTCTGATTGGCTTACCCTGAAATGTTACCCCGCGTTAACCAATCATCACTCCTCTCTGGTTACTTTCACTTTTCCATGGTACTGTGAGAGGACATCGCTGTATTCGCATGTAAGTACATCCGCAGGGAGATTCGGTTCAGTTCCATCACATAATGTACGCACCCATTTAAATCACAGTAACTATAACGGCGTTACTTAATGGGAATAGGTAACTAGTAACGCTATTAGTTACCGCAAAAGTAGTTGCGTTACAGTAGTCCCAACACTGGTAAAGAGTTATGATTATTCAAATGTTTTCTAAAAGATAGAACAGTTTCAATACTTAAACAAGGCAAGCATTGCTGTAAAACAAATAAGTGTGATATACTTGTCTATCTGCTCGTCAGCATCACTTGCTTTCGGTCCCGGCTGCATGTTGTCTCCCTTCGCTGAGACACTGATGTCACACTTGACATATCCTTTGACGCCAGTGCTAATGTCAACAGGATTGGTCAGCATTGCCCATTTATTGATGAACTGGTGACCTGAGGGAGCAGGAAAGAGAAGGTTGACCTCTGTGTGGACACACTATGAAGCTCCTCTTCTCTACGCTAAGAAACATGTTCAAAAGAGGTGATCTACCTGGCTGTTTGTAGACTGTCCACGCATCCAGCTTAAAGGACCCAATGCAGAAACTCCTCAGCATTTTGGAGTGCATCACCTGGAAAGAGTGACACACAAAGAGAAGAGACAGAGCTCAAGCTTAAAACTGATCTCACTTAAAAAAGAAGAAGAACAAGATGAACCTTTAAAACATGGCATCTCAGACCAGAAGCAACTAGAAATGAGATGACACATTAACAATTATTACATTACATTAGATGTCACTTGTTAGACGCTTTTATCCCAAGCAACTTACATACTCGATACTGTGGGCAATCCCCACAGGAGCAATTTGGGGTGAAGTGTCTTGCCCGGGGACACAATGACATGCTGGGTGTTTCTCAATCTCGAATACGCTTGCTTGGTAGCACATGTTTTCCGAATCACTTGCTTCAAAAGCGAGGCAAGAATACTTCCTGGCATTCGGAAAACAAAGAGTGGAACAGGCTAGCAAGTGTGCGTCATACGAGAGGCCCCGCCTTACATTTTCCGCAACAGATTTGGGGAAATTGGTCTTTGCGCAAAGCATTGTGGGGACCGCGGAGTCTACACATGTGCATCCTCGAAATTTCTCAAAACGAAGTACGCCGGGCTCGGTAGAATTCCAAGTATGCTGGACATTGGAACAGTACTTCGGCGGCACTCGATGACGTAGTATGCTTGAAATAGTGGCTCTGGAGCAGCTTAACTCAAGATTGAGAAACACCCGCTGACTGCAGTGGGGTTTGAACCTGTGACCCCCTGATCCGAACACCAACGCACAACCCACTGCGCCACACACCTCACTATTATGGAAAATCATTTTAATTTTAAATATTATCACCGACCAAGAAGACCTCAATATCTGACATTTGTATAAGAATCCATGCTTTCTGATTTGATCATTTATAGTGTTAGACATAACATCTAAATCTTCTCTTTGAAATGCTAAATTGCTGGGTTTTCTTTACTCACTGTCAGCTTGATGACTTTGTCAAAGAAGATCTCTTTGTGGGCAAAGAAGTCAAACACGAAATACTGGTGGAAAGAAGAGAGATACAGATGGTTTAAGTTAGGGTCTCTTAAAAATCACCAAAGAATCACCAGTCCTTATTTTTACCTCATTGTAAAAGGGAGCATTGGTTCCCTCTTTGACTGAAGTCTGTTTCTTCTCATCGCCGATCTCAATCACCACACTGGGGTCGATGTTCTCTCCGACCAGCTGCCGGGCCTCGGTGATGTTAATGGCAATCTACAGGCAAGACAGAACGTTACATACCACAGCACAGATGAGAGGAATTTTGTCAGGACTTATTCCCTATTGGGCCCAAGAAGCACTCAATATATGACATAATGGTCTCATACTGTAAAGCAGAATCTGTCTTTGTATTCTTATTGTGATTTTGTGCACTTTTTTCTTTATATGTTAAATATTTGTATCTATTTCATCAACTTGTGCATCATACATGTGTTCTGACTCTCTTTTTTCATTTTTTACTATATGCATCAAAACCATAATTAGTTTGAAGTGAAACTACTTCTGTTTTCTACAATGCATGGTTCATTAAAGATGATACTCTCCACGTCTGTCTTTTTCATCAGAAAGCACATTCCCCAGTGAATTTGCGGAAATCTATTTAAGTTATATTTTAGTTTGGTTATTTTGTATTCATTCATGAATGTTTTGTTATGTATTTTCTTGCTATGATTTTCAACGCATATCCAAGTCGCACAGAACATGATTACAAAAAGAAACAATTTAGATAATTATTATTAGTTATATATATTTTTTCGTTAATGACTGGTAATGTTGATACTCTACAATATCCAAAAATGTAAGTTTTATCTTAATCTTGAATTAAAATAAACGGTGTGTTCTGTTAGCTTTTACCTGGAAGCTCTGCAGTTTCCCTTCACTCTTCTGGATGAGCGTTTTCAGTTTGGCCCTGTGGAAGTATCACACGTCAGTTTCTCTAACTGGTTGTTAAAAGAGGTATACAGAAATAATGACCTATAACAATTACTCAGTATTCAGTAGAGTGTCATTCACACTGATCAACATACAAAAAAAAACTGCACATGCAGGTATTTAAAGATTCTGATGTGCTGTCTGAGCATTACCAAGGCATCTTGCTTTTACTGTAAGTCAATTGCATCAAGAGGCGATACTGCTTTGGGAGAGATTTCAAATACACATAAAACCCCTTCTCCTTCACATTGTGTTTAAAAGTAATTTAATGTGAATATTAAATACCTCTTATTGTTTGGTATTATTCTGGTTCTGACTGGGGAACCTTTACGTTGGTCTTCAGAGTGTTCTCCCTCAAGCAGGGAAGAATATTCAGATGACATCGCCAACTCACCTTCTACACACACACACACACACACACACACACCACCACACACACACACACACACACACACACAGAGAGAGAGAAGCTGTTTCATATGTCACACCGACGGACGTGCAGGTGACATCACTTCAAGAAACAGTGCTAAATGCACATGGCCGTACCACGTTCACACACTGACATGCACTCCCCACACTATGAGAGTTGGCCTCCTAATGTCCACACAACCTCATTACTGCCTCATGAATTGATGTTTAATTTAAAAAACAACTTCCTACCTGAAAATCTTCACTTTCAAATTGGACATTTTAAGATACAACTCCTGTTTCCAGTACATTTGCATTTTGTTGATACCAAAGTAGATTTTCTGCACCTATTGTATGTGGTTGGCAGTGGCGGTTCTACGGGGTGGCACGGGGTGGCAGCTGCCACCTCAGAAAAATGCCTTGCCACCCCAGCTGCCACCCCATTTGGCAGCTTTGTTTTGAAAGAAAAGTTGTGGCTCATCGGACATTTATGAGAGAAAATCTCTAATGTCCGAGTGCAAGTGAATGCAGCACAAGACGCGAGCCTTGTAACCCCTCCCCCCCCCCTGGCGCGAGCTTGGAAATATGATTGGCGGCGATTTCATTTGAACGGGAGGACAGCGCAAAACGAGAAGCATTTCGGATACAATTAGACAGAAGGAATGAGGTATTTGCGGTCAGGGTATGGCTGGGGTAGGCTACAGCCATACCAATAAATGGCTTAGCCCCACCATGAAAAATGATGTTAAAGTAAGCCAAATAAAGTCTGCCAACTCGTGCGGAGTAAATTGCACAGACAGCAGTTAGTACGATTGATTTCAGTAGCCACTTGTCTGGAAATACCGAAGACTAGAAACGGTTTTGAAAACTTTTGTCACGTAGTGATCGTCTTCTTAATAGAACATCTTTGATAATGTCTTCTGGCCAATCAGAATCACGATAACGGCGTGGTGTTGTTGCAGGAAGTCCCGACGGAGAATACTTTTGCTGTAGTACATCTCTATATACATCGATACAACATTATGTGTTGATAGAAATCAACACGTAATGAAATAAGACCCCACGGTTTGATGAGTGATAGGTGTGAGGGCTGTCTTTCATTTTGACACACAGAACAATGTTATAATAAACATACATACATAGGCTACTGTATGTTAAATGGATATATCCGCCTTCTTTCATTTATCTTTCCATTCCCACAACAATATACATAAAGAAAATGGCATATTTTGGTACATAGTTCGAATAGGTGGATTAATCTGATTAATTAATGTTTAAGC